GTAGTCCTAAAAATTAGGCAAATTAGATAAAATTGACAAATTTCTAAAAAGACACACACTGCCAAAACTGACTCAAGAAGATATATAAAAATCTGAATTACTTAAAACAAGTAACTGGGATTGGATTAGTAACTTTTAAAGTTCTCACGAAGAAAAGCCAGGTCCAGAGGGCTTTCCTTTAGATTTCTACCAAATATTTAAAAAATACTAATCATTCACAAACTTCTAAAATAAGGAAATAGAAGAGACTACCCAAATCATTCTATGAAAACCATATTATTCTCATACCAAAACAATACAAAGACATCACAAGAAAATGCAACTATTGACAAATATATCTTATGAATATAGATATAACAAATCTCAACAACATACTAGCAAATTGAATCCAACAATATGTAAAAAAGATTGTATACCATGATTATGTGGAATTTACCCAAGGAATGCACACTTGGTTTAATATCTGGATATCAATTTATGTAATGCACTATATTGATAGAACAAAAGGGAAAAGCACAAGATCATCTCAGTAAATGCAGAATAAAGCATTTCGCAAAATCTAACACTCTTTCATGATAAAAACACTCAACACAAAAATAGAAGGGACCTTCCTCAACATGTTAAAGGCCATCTACAAAAAACCCACAGTTAATGGGAAAAACTTAATACCATCTACTTTTGCCACTTCTGTTCAACATTGTACTGATCACTCTAACCAGGATAATTGGGCAAGAAAAATAATTTAAAAAGAGCATGAAGATTGTAAAGGAAGAAGTCACGCTATTTCTATTTGTAGATGATGACATGACCTCATATATAAAAAATTCTAAAAATATCCACAAAAAGTTTTTTTAGTAATGGTAAGTTGAACAAATTTGTGCAATGTAAGATCAATATATAAATCAACTGTATTTATAAAAACTAGCAATGAACAATCCAAAAGTGAAATTAAGAAAACTATTTCATTTATAATAGTATGAGAGAATACAATACTTAGGAATAAATTTAACAAAATAATGTAACACACTAAAACATGCAAAATATCGTTGAAAGAAATTAAAACTCTATATAATAGAAATATATCCCGTGTTCATGGAACCAAAGATTTAAAATGGTTAAGCTGGCAAATAACTTCCCAAATAGATCTACAAATTCAACATAATCCCCATCAAAATTTTAGGTGGCTTTTCTTAGCCACCTAAGATAAGTTTCTTGAGAAGCTAATCTTAAAATTCATATTGAAATGCAAGGGACCTAGGAAAACCAAAAGAATCTTGAAAAAGAAGAGTAAAATTAGAGGACTGACATTTCCCAATTTCACAACTTACTGCAAATCTACAATAATCAAGACAACATGGAACCTGTCCAAAGATTGACATATAGATCAATGGAATAGAATTGAGAGTCCAGAAATTGACATCTATAATAGTCAATTGATATTTGATAAGGACAGCAAGACAGTAAAATGGAGAGAGTATAGTATTTTCAATAAATAGTGCTGGTACAACTGGATATCAACCTGCCAAAGAATGAAGTTGAACCTCTTCTTCACAGCATACACCAATTTTTTTAAGCTGGATCATAGACCTAAGTGTAAAATCTAAAAGGATAAAACTCTTAGGAGAAAACATAGGAGTAAATTTTTGTGGCCTTAGGTTGAAAATGGTTTCTCAGATATGATATCTAAAGCAAAAAAAAAAAATTGGATCTTACCAAATTTTAAAAACTTCTCTGCTACCCATGATACCATTGAGAGAATGAGAAGAAAACACACAGGATGAGAGAATATACTTGAAAAGAGACTTGCATCCAGAATGTATAAAAAACTGTTACAACTCAATAATAAGAAAAAGACAACCCAACTTAAAAATGGGCAAAGGACCTGAACAGTCATTTTTCCAAAGAAGACAATAGAAGATGACCAATAACCCCATGAAAATATGCTTAACAGTCATTAGTTCATTAAGGAAATGCAAATCAAAACCACAATGAGATACACTTCACACCCACTAGGATGACTAAAAAAATTAAAAGAAAGAAAGAACACAAGCATTGGCAAGGATATGTAGAAATTGGAACCTTCACATATCTCACATATTGCTGATGGGACTTATCGCTGACAGGAATGTATAATGATGCAGCCGCTTTGGAAAAACATTTGGTGGTACTTCAAAATTTTAGACATAGAGTTATTATATGACCCAGTAATTTTGCTCCTAGAAATAAACTGAAGAAAAATGAAAACATATTTCTATACAAAAGGTTATACATGAATGTTCATAGAAGCATTATTCATAATAGCAAAAAGGTAGAAAACCCCAAATGTCCATCAATGGATGAAGGAACAAATGAAATGTGGTATAGTCATCCAAAGGAATATTATTCAGTAATAGAAGGGAATGAGGTACTGATACATGCTACAACATGGATCGGTCTTGAGAATGTTATGCTAAGTGAAAGAAGCCAGATACAAAAGGCCACATATTGTTTGATTTAATTTATATGAAATGTCCAAAATAGTCAGTTATAGATATAGAGACAGAAAGTAATTTATTGGTTTCCTAGTGCTGTGGGAGAGTTAGAGAGAATAGGGAATAATTGCTAGTGGGTATAGGATTCTTTTTGAGGTGATAAAATGTTCTTAAATTAGATACTGGTGATGATTGCACAATTCTGTGAATATACTAACAATCACTGAATTGTAAACTTTAAGTGGGTGAATTTTATGTATGTGAATTACAGGTAAATAAATCTATTAAAAACAATATATGAGGAGAATTTTCTTATATTATTAATAATATAGGAGCATTCCATAATTCATTTAATTAATTGTTATACATTTTTGTTGTCTTTATGTCTCAGTTTTGTAAGTAACACTTAAATGAATGATAATTATACAAATATCTAGTAATTTATTGTTTCATTTCTTGATGTAAATTTACTGGATGAAAGCGTAAAAACATTTTGTATGCTTTTGATTAATTCCTGCCAAGTTGTACTCCAGAAAGCTTTGCTATTTTCACTAAGAGTATTTGAGAACACCTGATCCTGATAGAAGCAGTCTGTGTCTGGGTGTTATAGTCTGTGTATTAATCTCTAATTTCTTCAATACATGTAAAACACTATTTTTTAAGTCATGTAAGAATATTATTTAAAAATTTTTAATAAATGCAGCAATATACATGTTGAAAATATCAGACAGGAACTTCTGTCATTGCCTGCACAAGAGGCATAAGATTCAAGGACTTAGAATGGCCTCATTCCTATAAATTTTCATGCCTTACATCACTATATAAGAGATATAATACAAATTGTTTTTTAATATACATATGAAATCACACTAAAATATTGTTCTGAATTTTGCTGTTTTCAACTTCAGAATATATATCAAGGATTTTTTTATCAGCACAGATAGTTCAGATTCATTTTTTAAATGGCTATATTATACTCCTTTGTATGGATAAATTAAAATTTATTTAAACAATTCCCTACAAATGTGTTTTATATTACTTACTTTCCTTGAACTTTACTTTTATTTACCTCGTATTTTTTATTCCCTTATAATTTTGCCATTACTAATAATAAGTAATGATCAATTTTATATACACATGTATTGGTGTAATTATACAAGTATATTCATTAAGAAAATTTCTAGGCATAGAATCTCCGAGATAAATATAATACATAATTTTAAAATAAATATTTTTCTAGTTAATCTTCAAAAATGTTGCACCAATTCTCAGTCCCACTCAGTGTGTGCTAATGCTTATTTCTCCACCCACCTAACAGTTGCTTTTGTAAAACACTTGTATTTTATCTATATGTTGATGCTTTATATTCATAAATATTGTGCCTATAATGCACTTTATAGCCTTTATTAGTCTTCATTTTAAAATCTTGTATAGTCTTACTTGATTTTTCTTGACAAAATGTTAGAATCATACACAAAGAAAATCGATATTTTAATTTATATAAGCTTAATTAATTTGAGGAAGATTATACTTTTTATAATTGTGTGTCTTTCTACCCAGGAATATGATTTATCTTCCTGTTTATTCCAATCTTTAAAAGTTTCTGTCACATTTCATATATCTTTCCAATTTATTTTAGTGTTGAGTATAGTAATTAAGGATTTCTTTTTAAATAGATTAAATAAAAAATATTTTTAACATTGCTTTTAAATAGATCACTTTAGAATAAAATAGAATTAGGTCTTTGATTTCCCAGTTTCAGATTTGTGACTTGCACATTCCTTTTCCTCTATTGTATCACCTGCTTTTTTGATTACAATAAACATATTTTATTGTGAGTTTGTGTATTACTTTTAGAGCCAAATTGTGGATGACAATTCTACTGTTGCATTTATGAATTTGTAAATTTTGCTTTTGTACTTTTTAATCCAATTCTTTTGTTTTTCTTTACTTTGATTTTGTTTTGTCTAACCTCTGGAAAAAGTGTTCAGTTTACTTATTTTATTTTTCTTGCTAAATAATTAAAGCTTTTAAATTGATGAATTTATCTCTATACATATTTTTGGTTACATATGTTTTAGTTTGCAATGTTTTCATTTCTTTTTTCTCCTGAATATTATATAATAGAAGTTTTAAGTTTTTTCTTTGTACAAGGAGTTATTTAGAAGTTTTTCCCCCTTTTCATGTCAAAGTACTTAGTTTTTAATTTATGGCAATGTGGTCTAATAAAGGGTGTTTTTTGGAACATATTAAACCGAACTTTATATCCTAATATATTATCCACTTAACTCCATGGACACATAAACATCACATTTATTAAAATTAAACTGTGATTTTTACATTATTATTTATTTTTTTGCAGTACGCGGGCCTCTCACTGTTGTGGCCTCTCCCATTGCGGAGCACAGGCTCTGGACGCGCAGGCTCAGTGGCCATGGCTCACGGGCCCAGCCTCACTGCGGCATGTGGGATCTTCCTGGACCGGGGCACGAACCTGTGTCCCCTGCATCGGCAGGTGGACTCTCAACCACTGTGCTACCAGGGAAGCCCGGTTTTTACATTATTTATCTTTACTTTCAAGTAAGGCTTTTTACAACTTTAATTTCTATTTTGTAATCAGGGTTTTGATGCTCACTACCCCAACCTTTTATATTATACCTACCATAGTCTTCATTTATTTACTTTGGCTCATCTTGGTTGACTGCCGTTGATCATTGAATAACTGCTTTCTAGATTCAGGAGAGGTCTGTAGGTGGCATACCTCTGAGTTATTATGAACTCCTTTTAATGACTATACACAATTTGGTTAGGTTTGTAGTTCTTAGTTCATAAAAATGTTTCCATCAAAATTTTGTACACATTATTTCTTTATGTGTTGTTACTGAATGTTACAGAGCAAAACATTATTTTATTGTCTTCTTGTGTAAAACAGAATTTATTCCTTTTGGGGTATTTGGAAGATGGTTTTTGTTTGAGCTTGGATGTTTGCGTAATGTTTATTCATCTTTAATGAATATTTAATAAATTCAAACATGTCGTCAGGAAATTTTACCTGAAACTCTGGAGGAGACCTTGTGTCCTATACAGCCAGGTCTATAGTATTCTGAATTAAATTTGCTTTTTTTCTTGTTTGCCCTGTCTTATCCCATTTGTAGTAATCTTTTCCCTCTCTTTAATTATGATTTCTCTTTATGTAAAACTTAATATCCACATATTTAATATCTTCTGACATTTGTGTCTACTACATTGTTTTATTGTTTTCATGTCTTAATCTTTTCTGTTCTCAGGAGGGTTTCTTAAGTCTGTCTGTCACATCCCTATTAAGTTTTCTACAGTGTTTCTTCTAATCTTTACTTCATTTGATGAAAATTTAAAGTTTTAAATTTTATATTTTTACCCTGCAATCCTAATTTCCTCTACAGGTCTTTTTTTCAGCCTGTTCTTATGTCTCTTTGCTTCTCATCTCAACCTCTGTGGTCAAGCTTTTTGCATGTTTAGGCTCTGTCTCGGAAAACAGAATTCACTCTACCTAGCTTAGTCAAAATGGATGTATTATAGTGTATCTGGCTTACAGAATTGCCTGAATATCTGAAGAAACAAATCTCAGGTTGAGATTTCAGGAGTGACTCTGTAACCACACTGAAGAACCTGGTCACCATGGTAGATGAAACTTCCTGTTTAATCAGAGAGCCATTTTCCAGTGTGGATCATGGCTGCTGCTGCTGCAGAACTGCGCTGCCACTAAAACAAACCAGAAACCACTGTGATCAATCATTAAGGCACCACCATGAGGAAACTGTCCTGATACCAGCTCCAAACCAATGCCATCCATGTTGCAGTCTGTACAGCAAAACAGATGCCATACATCCTGCTTTGACATTCACAAATCTTGTGACCAGGCCCTGGGACTCTGCTAATGGTGCGGCAGAAAATAAAGCACATGCCTCTGACCATACTTGTCAGTAAAAATAGAAAAAGATTCTGTTTCACTTCTACCTTCCAAATCTCGTTAGAGTGTATCTGAGTGTTGGAATCTTATTCATATCCAGCAACTTAGCTGTTGTGGCTCTGTGAGAAAAAAAAAAAAATGTGGTTTTTAGTTTTCTAGTATCTGCAGTATCAGAGAAAACCTTGAGAGGCGTTTAGATGGATGTTGAATACTGAGCCACCGTATCTACCTCAATTTACTGCTTTGGATACTCAAATTTCATCAAGTCCTTCTTTCCAATCTTAACCTTTCAGATGACGGCAAGAGAACAGCGAAATACTTCCTGCACTACTGTAGCTTTCAATGTACAAATGAAAATGCTTTCACCTTCTCTCTACAAAAGGAGGCCTAAAATCCCATTAGTCACCGCATCCACAAACTGGTGATATTCATTTCCCACATTCAGTCATAGTCCCACCTTGATATTCTTTAACTTATGGACAAAATTGCAAAGTAAATTAACACTAGTATGCCCTATATAAAATGATAAGAGAAAATGATGAGGAAAATAAAATTGTTCAGGGAAAATGCTATAGATACAAGTGCATAAGGAAGATAATATGAGTAGTTGTTTTAGTCTTTGTTTCTAAAATTGATCACCAGGTCTTAATTATTATTTATAAATTTCCTCTTTCCAAAACCCTTTCCCAGGTCTCTTTCTCCTTGGGCAACATAATGAGCTGGGATTTTTAACTGGTGGAGTGACCCAAACCTTCACACCTAAGGTGTACAAGCCTTTACTGATCCTACATGCTGTTCCATTAAGTTTTAAAATTGGACTTGGCAGACCATGAGTGGTAGAGGATTTCCTGAGTTGAAGGTATGCTTCTCCCTGCCCCACATGATAACAGCAACGCCATTTCCCCTTAGTAATCAGAATTAATCACCCCAGAAAACACAAAAATCCCCTTTCTATTGGCCCAGTGGCATGTGTAGCTCCATATTAAAAGGTGGCAATCTCAACTTTCAATTCAAAAAACCATTGATGTGTTCCTGGTGGAAGGATTCATCTCTTGGGTACCAAGTCCTCTAAACCATCATAAGCAAAGCCACAGAAATGAGGAACAAATATATTTTTAGTAGGTCATTAAATGTACCAGAGCAGAAGTGCCATTAGCAGCAATACTTCTACCCCTTAGTGCCCAGACAAGTGTGTTCCAACCATAAGAGAAAAAGGAATGCACATCATTTGCTGGCTGAAAGCATATGTCATCCTGTAGGGAAACATTCTATTCTAACAAGGTATATTGACTTGTTTTCAATGGTCTGTTCTATCTTTACAAAATGCCCATTGTTTCTGAGCACATGCTAAGAATAGTGAATCCCTTGGGAGTCAGCCCACTTTCTCTCCTATTTCTTCTATATAATGAATGTCATGGCCAGTCAGGAGTTGTGTTGTGTGGTAAAACCATGATTTAAAAAGTAAACTATTCAGTAAATCCAAAAATGCTGCTTTACAAAGTAGGCAGTAAAGCAAAATCCATATCCAAAATCAGCCAATACACTCACTAGTCAGTACACCCACTTCCTCTTCCATATTGGAGGAATCCAATATAATCAACCTGTCCCAGTTCCTGGCTGCACCACCCTGGCAATGGTTTTGTAGGTTGCTGAGTGCCAATGACCAGCAACAGAGACTCATGTTTTCCCTTAATGATGATTATGATTTAAGTAAATTTTCGTCACTATGTGTCCTCCTTCTAAGGCTAACAAGATCATTGTCACCTTCAAATGTAACTACTTCAGGGAGCTAATCACATATTGTAATTTTCTGAGTGTTTCGTGTACCAGTGACTGCATCCATCACAGTACAGTGTGGAAAATGGAATAGCATTCCAGGTAGTTAAAGCCAAAGGGATTTATTATAGGATCTTAGGTTGTTCATAGAACTGTCGGACAGCCTGAAGAAAATGGACACACCTGCCTCTCAACAGCCACAAAGATATCATCCAGACACTAGGGTGTCTATTAATGTTGTTGCCAAAACCCAGATATCTCTATTATGGACTTGCCTGCAGTAGAATTGAGGCAACTGCCACATTTTTGCCTTTAAATATTACCCAGAGCCATTAAACTTTTGAAGCCTAAATCATAACCAGAATTTAAGCTGCAAAAGAGTCTGGGAGTTGATTTCAGCTTTCTAGGCACAGTAGAGGGGTTTAGAAAGCCGTCATCCTATTTACAGCCACCTCCTACATAAAGTTCCTCCTCCTTTCCTTTGGTTGGATTGGTTTACTGATTTATTGATTGATCAATCAATTAATTAATTCATTCATTCCTCAGCACTTGACATTTCATTAATTTTATTAAAATTTATTTTAAAAAAATTTCTTTGACGGCAAGGCCTCTGTTTCAGTTTAATATCACCAGAGCATGTCACATCCATAGTAGGAGATCAACTAATACTTGGTTTCATTGAATTTTTGATAGTTCAAAGCTGACTCTGTCAAACATTTCTACTTTCTGTAGATTAAAAAAAAATAAAAGACACTTCACAGGGATGGTTTCTTTCATACTGCAGAATCTCTTGGCAATCTCCACTTGGGTTTTTTTCATTCACTTATTCTTTTTTTTTTTTTAACATCTTTATTGGAGTATAATTGCATTACAGTGGTGTGTTAGTTTCTGCTTCACAACAAAATGAATCAGTTATATATATACAAATGTTCCCATATCTCTTCCCGCTTGCGTCTCCCTCCCTCTCACCCTCCCTATCCCACCCCTCCAGGTGGTCACAAAGCACTGATCTCCCTGTGCTATGCGGCTGCTTCCCACTAGCTATCTACCTTACGTTTGGTAGTGTATATATGTCCATGCCTCTCTCTCGCTTTGTCACAGCTTACCCTTCCCCCTCCCCATATCCTCAAGTCCATTCTCTAGTAAGTCTGTGCCTTTATTCCTGTTTTACCCCTAGGTTCTTCATGACAATTTTTTTTTCTTAAATTCCATATATATGTGTTAGCATACGGTATTTGTCTCTCTCTTTCTGACTTACTTCACTCTGTATGACAGACTCTAGGTCTATCCACCTCATTACAAATAGCTCAATTTCGTTTCTTTTTATGGCTGAGTAATATTCCATTGTATATATGTGCCAAATCTTCTTTATCCATTCATCCGATGATAGACACTTAGGTTGTTTCCATTTCCGGGCTATTGTAAATAGAGCTGCAATGAACATTTCGGTACATGACTCTTTTTGAATTATGGTTTTCTCAGGGTATATGCCCAGTAGTGGGATTGCCGGGTCATACGGTAGTTCTATTTGTAGTTTTTTAAGGAACTTCCATACTGTTTTCCACAGTGGCTGTATCAATTTACATTCCCACCAACAGTGCAAGGGGGTTCCCTTTTCTCCACACCCTCTCCAGCATTTATTGTTTCTAGATTTTTTGATGATGGCCATTCTGACTGGTGTGAGATGATATCTCATTGTAGTTTTGATTTGCATTTCTCTAATGATTAATGATGTTGAGCATTCTTTCATGTGTTTGTTGGCAGTCTGTATATCTTCTTTGGAGAAATGTCTATTTAGGTCTTCTGCCCATTTTTGGATTGGGTTGTTTGTTTTTTTGTTATTGAGCTGCATGAGCTGCTTATAAATTTTGGAGATTAATCCTTTGTCAGTTGCTTCATTTGCAAATATTTTCTCCCATTCTGAGGGTTGTCTTTTGGTTTGTTTATGGTTTCCTTTGCTGTGCAAAAGCTTTGAAGTTTCATTAGGTCCCATTTGTTTATTTTTGTTTTTATTTCCATTTCTCTAGGAGGTGGGTCAAAAAGGACCTTGCTGTGATTTATGTCATAGAGTGTCCTGCCTATGTTTTCCTCTAAGAGTTTGATAGTTTCTGGCCTTACATTTAGGTCTTTAATCCATTTTGAGCTTATTTTTGTGTATGGTGTTAGGGAGTGCTCTAATCTCATACTTTTACATGTAGCTGTCCAGTTTTCCCAGCACCATTTATTGAAGAGGCTGTCCTTTCTCCACTGTACATTCCTGCCTCCTTTATCAAAGATAAGGTGACCATATGTGCGTGGGTTTACCTCTGGGCTTTCTATCCTGTTCCGTTGATCTATCTTTCTGTTTTTGTGCCAGTACCATACTGTCTTGATTACTGTAGCTTTGTAGTATAGTCTGAAGTCCGGGAGCCTGATTCCTCCAGCTCCTTTTTTCGTTCTCAAGATTGCTTTGGCTATTCGGGGTCTTTTGTGTTTCCATACGAATTGTGAAATTTTTTGTTCTAGTTCTATGAAAAATGCCAATGGTAGTTTGATAGGGATTGCATTGAATCTGTAGATTGCTTTGGGTAGTAGAGTCATTTTCACAATGTTGATTCTTCCAATCCAAGAATATGGTATATCTCTCCATCTATTTGTATCATCTTTAATTTCTTTCATCAGTGTCTTATAATTTTCTGCATACAGGTCTTTTGTCTCCTTAGGTAGGTTTATTCCTAGATATTTTATTCTTTTTGTTGCAGTGGTAAATGGGAGTGTTTTCTGGATTTTACTTTCAAATTTTTCATCATTAGTGTATAGGAATGCCAGAGATTTCTGTGCATTAATTTTGTATCCTGCTACTTTACCAAATTTATTGATTAGCTCTAGTAGTTTTCTGGTAGCATCTTTAGGATTCTCTGTGTATAGTATCATGTCATCTGCAAACAGTGACAGCTTTACTTCTTCTTTTCTGATTTGGATTCCTTTTATTTCCTTTTCTTCTCTGATTGCTGTGGCTAAAACTTCCAAAACTATGTTGAATAAGAGTGGTGAGAGTGAGCAACCTTGTCTTGTTCCTGATCTTAGTGGAAATGCTTTCAGTTTTTCACCATTGAGGACGATGTTGGCTGTGGGTTTGTCATATGTGGCCTTTATTATGTTGAGGAAAGTTCCCTCTATGCCTACTTTCTGCAGGGTTTTTATCATAAATGGGTGTTGAATTTTGTCGAAAGCTTTCTCTGCATCTATTGAGATGATCGTATGGTTTTTCTCCTTCAATTTGTTAACATGGTGTATCACGTTGATTGATTTGCGTATATTGAAGAATCCTTGCATTCCTGGAATAAAGCCCACTTGATCATGGTGTATGATCCTTTTAATGTGCTGTTGGATTCTGTTTGCTAGTATTTTGTTGAGGATTTTTGCATCTATGTTCATCAGTGATATTGGCCTGTAGTTTTCTTTCTTTGTGACATCCTTGTCTGGTTTTGGTATCAGGGTGATGGTGGCCTCATAGAATGAGTTTGGGAGTGTTCCTCCCTCTGCTATATTTTAGAAGAGTTTGAGAAGGATAGGTGTTAGCTCTTCTCTAAATGTTTGATAGAATTCGCCTGTGAAGGCATCTGGTCCTGGTCTTTTGTTTGTTGGAAGATTTTTAATCACAGTTTCAATTTCAGTGCTTGTGATTGGTCTGTTCATATTTTCTATTTCTTCCTGATTCAGTCTTGGCAGGTTGTGCCTTTCTAAGAATTTGTCCATTTCTTCCAGGTTGTCCATTTTATTGGCATAGAGTTGCTTGTAGTAATCTCTCATGATCTTTTGTATTTCTGCAGTGTCAGTTGTTACTTCTCCTTTATCATTTCTAATTCTATTGATTTGAGTCTTCTCCCTTTTTTTCTTGATGAGTCTGGCTAATGGTTTATCAATTTTGTTTATCTTCTCCAAGAACCAGCTTTTAGTTTTATTGATCTTTGCTATTGTTTCCTTCATTTCTTTTTCATTTATTTCTGATCTGATTTTTATGATTTCTTTCCTTCTGCTAACTTTGGGGTTTTTTTGTTCTTCTTTCTCTAATTGCTTTAGGTGCAAGGTTAGGTTGTTTATTCGAAATGTTTCCTGTTTCTTAAGGTAGGATTGTATTGCTATAAACTTCCCTCTTAGAACTACTTTTGCTGCATCCCACAGATTTTGGGTCGTTGTGTCTCCATTGTCATTTGTTTCTAGGTATTTTTTGATTTCCTCTTTGATATCTTCAGTGATCACTTCGTTATTAAGTAGTGTATTGTTTAGCCCCCATGTGTTTGTATTTTTTACAGATCTCTTCCTGTAATTGATATCCAGTCTCATAGCGTTGTGGTTGGAAAAGATACTCGATACAATTTCAATTTTCTTAAATTTACCAAGGCTTGATTTGTGACCCAAGATACGATCTATCCTGGTGAATGTTCCATGGGCACTAGAGAAAAATGTGTATTCTGTTGTTTTTGGATGGAATGTCCTATAGATATCAATTAAGTCCATCTTGTTTAATGTATCATTTAAAGCTTGGGTTTCCTTATTTATTTACATTTTGGATGATCTGTCCATTGGTGAAAGTGGGGTGTTAAAGTCCCCTACTATGAATGTGTTACTGTCGATTTCCCCTTTTATGGCTGTTAATATTTTCCTTATGTATTGAGGTGCTCCTATGTTGGGTGCATAAATATTTACAATTGTTATATCTTCTTCTTGGATCGATCCCTTGATCATTATGCAGTGTCCTTCTTTGCCTCTTCTAATAGTCTTTATTTTAAAGTCTATTTTGTCTGATATGAGAATTGCTACTAGAGCTTTCTTTTGGTTTCCATTTGCATGAAATATCTTTTTCCATCCCCTTACTTTCAGTCTGTATGTGTCTCTAGGTCTGAAGTGGGTCTCCTGTAGACAGCATATATATGGGTCTTGTTTTTGTATCCATTCAGCCAATCTGTGTCTTTTGGTGGGAGCATTTAGTCCATTTACATTTAAGGTAATTATCGATATGTATGTTCCTATTCCCATTTTATTAATTGTTTTGGGTTCGTTATTGTAGGTCTTTTCCTTCTCTTGTGTTTCTTGCCTAGAGAAGTTCCTTTAGCAGTTGTTGTAGAGCTGGTTTGGTGGTGCTGAACTCTCTCAGCTTTTGCTTCTCTGTTAAGGTTTTACTTTCTCTATCAAATCTGAATGAGATCCTTGCTGGGTAGAGTAATCTTGGTTGTAGGTGTTTCTCCTTCATCACTTTCAATATGTCCTGCCACTCCCTTCTGGCTTGCAGAGTTTCTGCTGAAAGATCAGCTGTTAACCTTATGGGGATTCCCTTGTGTGTTATTTGTTGTTTTTCCCTTGCTGCTTTTAATATGTTTTCTTTGTATTTAATTTCTGACAGTTTGATTAATATGTGTCTTGGTATATTTCTCCTTGGATTTGTCCTGTATGGGACTCTCTGTGCTTCCTGGACTTGATTAACTATTTCCTTTCCCATATTAGGGAAGTTTTCAACTATAATCTCTTCAAATATTTTCTCAGTCCCTTTCTTTTTCTCTTCTTCTTCTGGAACCCCTGTAATTCGAATGTTGGTGCATTTAATGTTGTCTCAGAGGTCTCTGAGACTGTCCTCAGTTCTTTTCATTCTTTTTTCTTTATTCTGCTCTGCAGTAGTTATTTCCACTATTTTATCTTCCAGGTCACTTATCCGTTCTTCTGCCTCAGTTATTCTGCTATTGATCCCATCTAGAGTGTTTTTCATTTCATTTATTGTGTTGTTCATCATTGTTTGTTTCATCTTTAGCTCTTCTAGGTCCTTGTTAAATGTTTCTTGCATTTTGTCTATTCTATTTCCAAGATTTTGGATCATCTTTACTATCATTATTCTTTTTCAGGTAGACTGCCTATTTCCTCTTCATTTGTTAGGTCTGGTGGGTTTTTATCTTGCTCCTTCATCTGCGGTGTGTTTTTCTGTCTTCTCATTTTGCTTATCTTACTGTGTTTGGGATCTCCTTTTCGCAGGCTGCAGGTTCGTAGTTCCCATTGTTTTTGCTGTCTGACCCCAGTGGCTAAGGTTGGTTCAGTGGGTTGTGTAGGCTTCCTGGTGGAGGGGACTAGTGCCTGTGTTCTGGTGGATGAGGCTGGATCTTGTCTTTCTGGTGGGCAGGTCCACGTCTGGTGGTGTGTTTTGGGGTGTCTGTCGACTTATTATGATTTGGGGCAGCCTCTCTGCTAATGGGTGGCATTGTGTTCCTGTCTTGCTAGTTGTTTGGCATAGGATGTCTAGCACTGTAGCTTGCTGGTCGTTGAGTGAAGCTGGGTGCTGGTGTTGAGATGGAGCTCTCTGGGAGATTTTCTCCATTTGATATTATGTGCAGCTGGGAGGTCTCTTGTGGACCAGTGTCCTGAAGTTGGCTCTCCCACCTCAGAGGCACAGCACTAACTCCTGGCTGCAGCACCAAGAGCCTTTCATCCACACGGCTCAGAAGAAAAGGGAGAAAAAGTAGAAAGAAAGAATTAGTAGAAGTAGAAAGAAAGAAAGAAAGAAAGAAAGGAGGGAGGCAGGGAGGGAGGGAGGAAGGAAGGAAGGAGGGAAGGAAGGAAAAAAAGAAAGAAGATAAAGTAAAATAAAATAAAGTAAGATAAAATATAATAAAGTTGTTAAAATAAAAAATGATTATTAAGAGGAAAAAAAACAGAAAGCAAAAAAACAGATGGATAGAACCCTGGGACAAATGGTGGAAGCAAAGTTATACAGACAAAATCTCACACAGAAGCATACACATACACAGTCACAAAAAGAGGAAAAGGGGAAAAAATCATAAATCTTGCTCTCAAAGTCCACCTCCTCAATTTAGGTTGATTGGTTGTCTATTTAGGCATTCCACAGATGCAGGGTATATCAAGTTGATTGTGGAGCTTTAATCCGCTGCTTCTGAGGCTGCTGGGAGAGATTTCCCTTTCTCTTCTTTGTTCTCACAGCTCCCAGGGGCTCAGCTTTGGATTTGGCCCCGCCTGTGCGTGTGTAGGTCGCCGGAGGGCGCCTGTTCTTTGCTCAGACAGGACGGGGTTAAAGGAGCCGCTGATTCAGGGAGTCTGGCTCACTCAGGCCAGGGGTAGGGAGGGGCACGGAGTGCGGGGCGAGCCTGCGGCAGCAGAGGCCGGCGTGACGTTGCACCAAGCTGAGGCGCGCCGTGCGTTCTCCCGGGGGAGTTGTCCCTGGATCCCGGGACCCTGGCAGTGGCGGGCTGCACAGGCTCCCCGGAAGGGGGATGTGGATAGTGACCTGTGCTCGCACACAGGCTTCTCGGTGGCGGCAGCAGCAGCCTTAGCATCTCATGTCTGTCTCTGGGGTCCGCGCTGTTAGCGGCGGCTCGCGCCTGTCTCTGGAGCTCCTTTAAGGAACGTTCTTAATCCCCTCTCCTCGCGCACCAGGAAACAAAGAGGCAAGAAAAAGTCTCTTGCCTCTTCGGCAGGTCCAGACTTTTCCCCGGACTCCCTCCCGGCCAGCCGTGGCGCACTAACCCCCTGCAGGCTGTGTTCACGCCGCCAGTCCTCTCCCGGAGCTCCAACCGAAGCCCGAGCCTCAACTCCAGGCCCCGCCCGCCCCGGCCGGTGAGCAGACAAGCCTCTCGGGCTGGTAAGTGGCACGGTCAGCACTGATCCTCTGTGTGGGAATCTCTCCGCTTTGCCCTCTGCACCCCTGTGGCTGTGCTCTCCTCCACGGCCCCGAAGCTTCCCGCTCTGCCACCCGCAGTCTCCGCCCGCGAAGGTGCTTCCTAGTGTGTGGAAATCTTTCCTCCTTCACAGCTCCCTCCCACTGGTGCAGGTCCCGTCCCTATCCTTTTGTCTCTGTTTATTCTTTTTTCTTTTGCCCTACCCAGGTACGTGGGGGGTTTCTTTCCTTTTGGGAGGTCTGAGGTCTTCTGCCAGCGTTCAGTAGGTGTTCTGTAGGAGTTGTTCCACGTGTAGATGTATTTCTGGTGTATCTGTGGGGAGGAAGGTGATCTCTGAGTCTTACTATTCCGCCATCTTCCCAGAAGTTCACTTATTCTTGAAAGAAGAGAGATAAGTCCAGCTGGAAGTCTGCCCATAAACACAGCCTCTCTTTTTGGGTCCCCTGTATTATTTTCTTGGTTGTTCCGAGATTTCTGCTGTTAGCTGTTCAGATGAAGGGCTGGTAAATGCAAATTTACATTAGCAGTGTAGAACCTTGCTTCCTGAGAGAAGCAAAGGGCAATTCAAATACAGAACTTTCCAGCAAAGGAAGTAGCTCTTGTGTAGTTTCTTCTCTATTTGGTGAAGCTAGTGCACCAGGATAAAGTCCTTTGGTGTTTCTGCCCAACCTCCTGGCCTGAAGCTGCTCCTGTGCTCCTCCTGGCCGGGCTGCCTCCTTGTCATGCAAGATCCATGCCTCGGGTTGACAGATAAAATACAGAATGCTCAGTTAAATTTTAATGTAAGATAAACAACAAGTATGAACCAAAGTACATGGGAAAATGCAATTGCAGTAAAAATTTTTTCATTGTTCATCTGAAATACAAATGTTCCTGGGCATCCCGTATTTTTTTGTTTGCCACATCTGGCAAACCTAGCCATACTATATCCAGTGAAATTCTCTGTGCATCATTGAGAAGCCAATATAGTTAGTGGCATTCTTGACTTTCTAGGAGACCATATAAAATCATATCTGAGGGCATCATCTCGAGTTAGATTGCCAGAGTGGACGTCTTGGTTCTTTCACTTATTATTTTACTTTGGGTAAGATACTTGAGCTTTCTATGCTTTAGTTTACTTTCTTATGAAATTGGTCTAATAAGTGTACCTACTTCCAGGGTCAATAGGAATACTAATTGTGATAATTCATATTAGGCATTTAGAAAAGTATCTGGCACATAATAAACTCTCTATAATTATTAAGTATTGTTATTATCTCTGCTAGGAAAACAAGGATATGCCAGGCCTCCCTCAAACAACTGAATGGAAATGCTTTTCCTCTAACACAGTAAAAATGATCCCAAATTTAAACTCCCCATCTGCCCCATAGATTCTCCTTGCCTCCAATGTTCATGCTTCCAATTTAAAAAGGTGACGGGGGCTCTGCCAGCCCATCCACTGATTGCTTCCTAAGAGTCTGAACCATTTTCTCCAGAGAGGAATTTTGAACCAGACTTCAGTGCCTTGTCATTTCATCTGCACTAAATCTAGCAGAAATACGCTGCTATTTCTGACAATGGAAATGATAACCCTTCTCTGGTCCTTTAACTGATGCAGATTAGTGTCTATTTTTATATTCCTTTGGTCATTTCAGGAGATATGTAACGGGATGGAAATTAAACCCATGGACTCAAGTTGTCAGCTATCTCAGTATTCCAAAGCATAAGCAGAACCTTCATTTTGTTTTAATCACTTGACTGTATTGATACTTAACAACTAATATGATACTTAAAATTCAGAGAGGCAAGGATGGAGAAAAGATCTTTCAACATAAGCTTCATTGACTGGCTCACTTCTGTGTTGTTTATAAATTTTGGCTCAAACCTCCTCACCAGTTCTCTATATGTTAATATATGAAATTCCCTCTTTCTGCAGTTAATGTAATACAGATCTAATCCTTATGCAATGATTCTAGCATAGGCTTCTTTCCAGTCTTCTGGAGTTATTTATATGCAATTTTCAAACAGAGATGATCTTTCCTATATGCACTAATAATATTTACATTTTTAAATGGAACACAGACTTAAAGTTGAGGTAAAAGGTTATGAGGTCAAAGAAACATAGAGATTAGATCTTTAACCAGGGCAGACAGTTACATATTGAAAATAGCAATATCATATTTTTGCAAATTTCATGCTCTCATTAGAGACATAGAGGCCTAATTGAAGGAGGATTTCTTTTTTAAAAGAACAACTATGTTTATTAATACCTGTTAAGTAGCCCAGATGAAGGTCAGGGGCTATTAGAATAAAAATATATCTGAACAATTCCAAGCAATGAAGTCTAAAACACTGAGTAAAAAAGAGATGGAAATAATGGAATAATATTTCAAACAATCAGTGATAGTAAAGCAAATGTAAAATCATAACTAATAGAACTGGTTTTTCAAGGGGTGAAGTTGCTATTTACAGGAAATCTAAATATTGAAAGATTATTTTAATGGTGCTATATACAGCTCTCGATGAATTAAAAAATTTTTTTAAATCATGGGATGAATACAGAACCAAAGCAAGGTATGAAAGTAAAAAGCAGATTAACTGAAAAATGTTCTCACTTTTCCCTGGTTCTCTGGACTCATCCCTCCAGAGAATGAGTTTCATGAAAGAGCAGTCTATAGACCTCCCATTAGCTTGCAGGGGTCTTTCTGCCTTTTTACATTAGAATAAGGTTCTTGGTGGAATGGCTGACACTTTGTGCTCTCAACTGTATGAAGTTAGATCTTTTGTAGAGATGATGAATAGCTCCTTCAGTGTCTAACAGAAAGTTTCCTATAGTTTATCTCAAGTGGTGGAGGTTTATACTATCGACGTGGAGCATTTTGACACATAATGTTCCTTTCTTTTACACATTGACTCTCGTTGCAGAGTCTCATGCCTTGTAATCTGAAAATAAAATATATTTATAATTTACCCTCAGAAAATGTGACAGCTACTACATTCCACCTATAAATTTAAGGAATGTTGGTATACCAATATGTGTGCTAGATAGATCTGAGGTCAGCAAACTGTTTCTTTTTTTTTTTTGGCGGTACGCGGGCCTCTCACTGCTGTGGCCTCTCCCGTTGCGGAGCACAGGCTCCGGACGCGCAGGCTCAGCGGCCATGGCTCACGGGCCCAGCAACTACGTGGCATGTAGGATCCTCCCGGACCGGGGCACGAACCCGTGTCGCCTGCATCGGCAGGCGGACTCCCAACCACTGCGCCACCAGGGAAGCCCAGCAAACTGTTTCTTTAAATGGCCAGACAATAAATATTTTAGGGTTTTGGGGCCTCATGGTTTCTGTTGCAACTACTCATTTCTGCCCTTTTAAGGAGAATGCAGCCATAGAAAAGCTGAAGACAACGTGTAAACAAATGGCATGGCTGTGTTCCTATAAAACTACATTTACAAAAACAGGTAACAAGCCTATGGACCTTAGTTTCCATTCCCAGTACTGGTTAACTCCATTTTTATGTAACGAAGGAATAGCTTGCTCTTTTATCTTTTGCTTTAAAATGTTAAGGGTGCATTATTTTGTTTCTTACATCTCTAAAGTAAGTATACGATACATAACTCCGATACTTTTTTATGCATGTGTGTTGCTTATATGTATAAACTACAAATTATATTTAAACTTTTATAGATTATTTTTTCATAATCAAAAGAAATATTTCATAAAATATGCTTTCTATCATCATAACTATTTCAAGAAACTCACCTCTGTATCTTTTATTTTTATTGAATTTACATGAATAAACAGCACAAAGGGAAAGGCAAAAATTCTTTTCTTAACCTTAAAAAAAATGGCCCAGGATAAATATAGTAGCTCATCTCAAACAAGCCCTAATATGAAAAAGAAAACAAAAGTTATAAATTAGAACTACTTTGATCAGATGTCATCCAATAAAACGTAACAACATACCAGTTAAAGCATTCAGAGATGGGTAGAAGAGTAATGAAGAATATATAACTTTCAAAATGAGGTTAGTCCAATCCCATACATCTGACTTATGAATAAATTCCGTTTGAAACCCTCAGTAGAAGTATTGTATGTTAAAGAACAAAAGAGGCAGCTTCAGGCTGTTTTTCTTAATTTTTCTAATTCATTGTTTTAATGGAATAGAAGAATTTGGTGGGACTGAAAGAAAAAAAAAAAAAAGAAGAAGCCCTCTCTGATGAGCTCTGCATTTGCAAATAGTACCTGCCAACTGACTAAAGTACAGTACTTTGAATGATGGTGATATTGTCAGTGATGCATTTTAAATCAATGTAGCTCTAAAAGATGGCAGGATCTTTTCTTCATTTCACATTACTGTATTTACCATTTTTCCTGGCCTTTTCCTAGGTAATAAATAATAAAGGAAATTATTAGAAAAAAGTGACCATGAAGGAAGAATTTCTGAACCACAGTTTTATTAATAATAATTATTATTAATTCTAACAAACTTTGACAAGTAATTGTAGTTCTCCTGTGAAGATTAAGAATCACCACGCTCCCATAGAATCAGTGTTTTTTCTGATGAGCCAGAAACCACAGTGGGGATTTCGATACTCAATTTTAGCCCCAGGTTAAGTCAGAGAGTGCAGTGTCTCGAAATTAGAATAAAATAAAAGAACTCATTAAAGACATATTATAACCAGGAGCATTAAGTCTTAGTTAGATAAGACTTTGAAAGAAAGTGATAATAAATAACTCTTCCACTGTATTAAGAAATACATTATGATTTCTGCCTAAGATACCATCATGTAAGTAAACCTGGTGACTATCTATGTGGAGAAATTAGTAATCATTCTATTTATTTATTTATTGTTACCAAAACTGGGAAGTTTGTTTCCTGATTAGAAATTCTGTCTTTTATATTCCTGGTAACTGCAACAGCATGTGCCGTGTAGATATTAGAGACTCATGCTTGTTGAGATATTAGTTGATACATGTAGAAAATA